ATTGTATTTCATTTTTTTCGCTGAATTTCAGCTAATCATGATGAAAATAAAGACCCCGAAAAATGGAAGAATCAAGCGAGAAATAGAAAAACGTGCTCCTAAACTCGTAAGTCAGTAATTTCCTTTAATTTGGTAAAAATATAAATTTGTTTTTTCTTTTCCAATTTCTGGTTGATAAAAAGATGCGAGTTTTTAGGTGGAAACTGGAAAGAAGACTTTAATACTACATGGCACAAAAACAAGCAGTGTATTGAATTCAGTATTGACAGAAATATATCATCTGAAGAAGGAGAATGCTATCAAGTATTCTCGAAGAAACGTCAACATTAGACCGTTCGAGAGCGGTGGCGAAACTTCTCTAGAATTTTTCTCCCTCAAAACAGATTGCAGTTTGTTTGTGGTATGCATGAAATCTATGTCACACCTTATTTTTCATTTCTCTGTTTTTACCCTTTGGGCTAGGATGGTATTGTTTGATTTGATTCTCTATTTTCTTGTTAAATTAATATGTGTGCATTAGTTTCTCTGTAGGAAAAGATATATTCTGAGGATAGGGAGTATTGATACTCCATTACTTCGTCTACAAAGAAAAGTGTTCTTTTGCAATGTTTAAAAACGCATAATCGGTACTGATTCATTTTCCCTTTGTCAGGTGGGTTGCAAGCCTCACTGTAAAACAAAAAAAAAAAAATGTAAAAAATTATTGAAATGTAAATCATAAACACAATCAATCCTATACAGTGTTCAATAGGACAATTTCTATTGTGCTGACAAACAAAATAAAATCTATAGTGTGACTAAAAGAAAAACTAATACTTTAGTCAGTGGGTTAAGTGGACTATTCCCAAGTGGTTGTTTGAGAAATAAAATCTTTCAACGTTGTAGTACTAGCTGATTTCTAAGGTGGGTTAATCAGAAAATACGTTTTTTAATGTTTTAGTAATAGCTTGGGAAGTGAGCTATTCCCAAAGTGGGTTAATTAAAATTTGTAATCTTTTGTAGCCCACAGGCCACACCTAAAGCAAAATGAACAAATTTAGAGAATTAAGGATCGCACATCTCACAAGTGTAGAGGTGTGTGCCTCAATCAATTGAAATTTGGGCCTCCAAGAACTGCTTACAATCTGTGTCTCGAAGCATTTTTGTTTGCCTCACTCTGAGGCAGGCCTCAATTGGGTTTTTTAGACTGATCTTTTGAACAATTTGGTTGGTTAAGCAGACAGTAGAACGCAGGAAGCCAACTATTTAGTGGAATGTTGGTCAAGGTTTGAATTGAAAGCTAGACCATCAAGTATATTATCTAAATAATCCCCTTTTAAGAATTCTTATAGAATGTGATGAATGAAACTCTTCTTGGCTTCCGGCTTAGATACTACTAGCTGGAAGAAGTGTTGTATCATTTGAGCTTATTTGTTTAAATGTAAATGTAGAAAGCATTCTAATAATCTCATTAGACAAGTGATCGAGTAGTTACCAGGTATACATAGTATGTTTTTGTTGAGGCTGTGCATGGTAGTTCGTCTATGGATAGTATTTGGCACCAGTTTTAATATTGAGATATTTCCAAAAATGCTTACAGACTGATAATGCGGAAAGAACGGCCGAAGATTATTACTTTCTTGATTGACGTTTTGCTATTAGCATCTATATATTTTTATTTATGGTTATGCACTCCCAATTTGTCCTGTTATGTTTTCTCATGACCATAAAAAATGTCATTTGGGTGGTCGGAAGGCATTCAACCTCGAAGTATTAGCATTTACTTTTGATACCACATGTCTATTTATTGAATATTTTACTTAGTAATTTAAATCTGTTAAGCCGTGTAAGACCCCCAATTTTTCTGTCATAGAGCCTGTTAGATAATTGTTCTTTTGTCAGGGTACTGTCTATTTATAGATTGAAAAGAGATAATCATTTTAGACTATTATGTCACTGTTATTAGTCTTGCATGTATGACCTTATCACTGTCTCAAACTAGCTAAATAAATTAAATATAAAAAAAATCTCAAAATTAAGAAATTTTCATCTCTTGGAATTTACCCCTGTTTAGCCCCATAATTCCACGTTATAATAAAAGGAATAGTAATTATTTGGAGAATGTGTAAATGATAAGAAGAAAGAAAAATGAATTATAATTTAATGGGGAATAATGGGGGTCAAATGGGGGCTAAATTTTTGTTCTAGCCATTAATTTTTTATATATTCATCTCACCATATGAAGGACTACAGAGTGAAGGAAATTTGTGTGCAGTGTCATTTAGCCCCTGTTTGATTGGGATTAAAATAAGATTTTAGTAGATTTTGATAAAACTTAATGAAATGTGTGGTTGAAAAGTAGTTGGTCCCATAAAATCTGTAATTAAAATTAATTGTTGACTTTGTCTTAAATTAAAATTTAGATTTTAATTTGTACCAAACAGTGGCTTATTATTTTATTTTCAAAAGTTCTCCCTGTTTTCTTTTTGCAGTTTGGTTCTCACTCAAAGAAGCGGCCGAACAATCTTGTTATTGGACGAGCATATGATCACCACATTTATGATCTTGTAGAAATTGGGGTTGAAAATTTCAAAAGCATGAACTCTTTCTCATATGATAAGAAATTGGCCCCTCAAATTGGGTCAAAACCCTTTTTTGCTTTTGTTGGAGAAGGTTTTGAGAGTGTTGTAGAGCTGAATCATTTAAAAGAAATTTTACTTGATCTGTTCCATGGAGAGGTTTGCCTGTACTATTATGGTCTCTTCTGCTTCTTTTATTGCTTATTTAAATTCAAAGAGTATCATAATAAGCACAAATCTCAATCTTGTAGGTTGTGACGAATTTGAACATAGCTGGACTGGATCGTGTTTATGTGTGCACAGCCACCTCTTCAAACAAAGTATTCTTTACTCATTGTGCACTGCGACTAAAAAAGTCTGGCTCTATAGTACCAAGGATGGAGTTGGTTGAGGTTGGTCCATCAATGGATATGGTGGTTCGAAGACATCGTCTTCCTGATGACAGCCTGAGAAAAGAAGCAATGAAGTTAGCCCCTGCATTAACAAAGAAAAAGGTTTGCCTAGTTAGAATTTGCTTTCCGCAATTTAAGATGACAATGCTAATTCTGGCCCTGGATTTTCAGGAGAAAAATGTTACCAAAGATGCGATACAAGGGAAAATTGGGAAGATTTATATTCCAGATCAGAAGGTAAGAGATGGTTTTGCATTAATGCAATTTGCCAATCTTAATGCGAACTTGCTGTTCAAGGGTTAGAAATGAATCAAGAAACAATGGCTTATATATTAGGCCCTGTTTGTTTCGGATTAAAATTAGATTTTAATCTAAGTCTAAGTCAAACAATCAATATTAACCACATTTTTCATGGGTCCACAGCTTTTTAACCATACATTTCAAAAACTTCTATCACAATCTGCTAAAAATCTAATTTTAATCCCCACCAAACACCCTCTACTTGCATCCTTGAGTCTCTTCCCAAATACCTCCCACCTAAAAGCCAAATGGGATGGCAAGACTGTTGCATGCAGAAGTATTTAGTGGGTGTTTGATATGCAGTATTTGATCGTATTAGGCAGTGCGATTTAAAGGATTTTAATTTCTTTTCTTTTCTTTTCAATACAATCTATTGCTATTTAATACATGTGATTAAACATAACACTAGCTAGAGTAATCGGACAAAGAGAGCCTTCTCTAGTAGTGCTATCCTAGCCATTGAATACCTTTCCCTGATTTAACATCGGAGGAGTCTAGCCATCTCTTCATTGCCTAGCCTAAATGAGCAATCATTTCCTGTCTACAATGTCTTAGTTCGTGTTTTTATTCATTTTAACCACAAGTTACTCACCCTGTTATGAAACAAGTAACTGCTATGATTTATTAGTGTCACAGAACAGCATCGCTTTTTCTTCCTTTCAGTGAATTCCTTGTGCTGGTGTAGCCTTATTTAATGCTAGGCCTTTGATAAGCACTAACAACTAATCTTGTATGTAGGTTGGGAGTGTGGCACTACCTAACAAAGCGAAGGGGGTGAAGAGGGAGCGACGGGAAGCTAAAATGAAAGATGAGGCCAACGGGCCTAAAGAAAAGAAGCAGAAGCACCCTTCATAGAGAGCAGTGACATTTTTGGCGTACCTTGCACTGCTTTCCTATTGGGAGCAAGACATTTTGGTTCATTTTACTGATTGATGATGTTTATAACTCTGCTCATGACACACGATAGATTATTCTAATATAAAATATGACATGCTTGTTAATGGACAAGTAATCCCCAAAGTTTTGCCAAGTACATCTTATTTTACATTGTTTTCTATCTACCGTACAAAAAACAAAACTAAGTATTAGTTTACATGTTATTTACTAAATGAAGAATAACACATATCATCCATTGGAACATGCATCGTTAGGAACAATTAAATGTATCAGAGACATGACATTTAATCAAATATGGCAGGAATGGATACCCTGCCTATAGGGGAAATGTTTGAACAGACGCGTGTTTGGCTGATGTTTATAAATTGTTTATAAAAATTTACACATTTGGTGAGGCTTGAATTAAAAGTATTATCCATCATTACCTATTCATAGATTAAATTGTTTATAAATACTAACCATCCATTATGATGTGTAAGAAATATGTTGATAGTTACAGTTGACGCCACATCCTGAATGAACTTGAATGCAATAAATCATATTAGTGTCCACAAGAATTCAAAAAAATAAAACGTTGGTAGTTCAAATAGCTGACAAGAATAAAACAAAGTGCGGACGAAGAGAGATGGAAAAAGTATCAAACTAGTCAAAACAACGATCCATTTGTCTTGCAGGGAAATGATCCATAAAACCTCTATACACTAACCTGCTAATGCTATCAGAAAAATTTACAGTCAAAGCTAGCTATATTAAGAAATCAGAAACCTCAAGAAAAATCAGCAACTTGCGCTGCTGCAAGAGTAGATTGCTGCAAAAAGAAACTATTCTGCAAAATGTTAATAAACTATGATGTTTATGTTGTTGACTGCTCAAAAGGAACACGAATAAATAGACGTCCATGCAGGCTAACAACTGCAGAAGTGTGAACTGGATCAATTCGTGCAGGTAAGCTCACCACCTGAAAACCACAGTACCTGTTAATTCTGAGCCATCACTATATGTGGCACTCGACAGAACAAGAGGTTAAATGGCAGAAACGGGAGAAGAAGGGAGAAACTTGGAACTGAAATTAAAAATTGAATTTAATCGATTAATGACTTGGCACGATGCAGTAGTCTTCATTAGATTTTAAAAACTCCAAACTGGGCTGAAAATTTCTCTCTTTAATTTGCTAAGCATAGAGAAAAATACACATTTAATTACAGATTTCATACACTCCAAATTTGAAAGCTGCTCAATGTATATGCAGAGACAATTGACAATTAGGTTCACAATTTAATATAAACGCTTTGCAGGAAAGTTGACAGTACATAGTAAGCTTCACAAAAGTCTGTCAAAATTCCGAATAATATAACTCGTACCTTCCTGAATGGTGTGACACCCCACGGATTGTCAGGTTCCTCAGGATGACCTGTTATGACTATTCGTCCAACAGGATCTGATTGAACTCGCACCTAAGCCATCAATAAGGGCATCGGTATCAACTCATGGGTTTAGTTCACAATCTCACTTTGAGCGCACACATACCCACACATAAATATATTAAATTCCTAACAGAGAAAGGAAAACAAAAGCAAAACCTATTCCACCAGAAGAAGATTCATTATTAGTGTTTCAAATTTCATATGCAATCTGAACCAGAGAATACAAACAGCGATCGCAAAACAGATACAAGTACCTGAATGGCAATATATTAGCGAAAACGTTGAAGGAACAATCAAATACAAAAACCAAAATGAGGCATATCCCACAAACTGAAGCGAAGAACAAATTATAAGTTCAAACTAAGTACAACAAACCAATAACTGAAAATACACCTCTTCACGCAGAAGCCCAGGCACCAGCGCATACACCTCAAAAGAATCTTTCTGTACATAAAGTAACGGTCACAGTCAAAATCAGTTTTGAGTATGCTCGTTGTGTTGAGAGGGAGAGAGACATAAATAATGAAGCTAGTCCTATCATAATAAACTTACAGTTTCACGTATGTTGATTTTCACCCAATCAGCTGGGGGGCCAACATCAACAACTGTTGTGACCAGTCTGGCAGACAGATTAAAGAAATGTTGAGTTAGAAAAGCGCCCATAGTTATAGTAAATAAAAAGAAGGTGCACAATAATGATGAAAGGATTAACTATATATCTCAGACAAGAAAAAGAAAGGGCAGGGGGAAGGCAAAAACTTAGAAAATTATTTCCCAACACTTCCACTCCGCGGTAAGCATGTGAGTCAATTAACCCCTTGACCACAGAGCGAAACAGTGTTCCATTCTTTTTGGCATCCACAGGAAGTAAGAAAGATAAAGTTATCACCGCACCCTGGGGATAAATCGTCCTTTTTATTCCAACACCGTTTCAATTAGGCTAGCGCAACAAAGGCTGGAACTCTTCCTGCCAAAAACAAGGGACCTACTTCTCATCCTCATTTTACCCCTAGCAATAATAAATTGGCGACTCTTGCAAATGAAGCAATTCCTCTTCAAATGCCAGCTCTTGATCAATTTGCGACTTCAGGCTTGATAATTTTGCACAAAAAGCTAATTCAAAGCTTTCCTGAATTCATCTGCAAAGCATCATCGAGGCTGAGCATACATTTATATGCTCTAATTGCCTTGTTGATAAGTGTATTTCACTCATGCTTTTTGAACTATTTAAATTTGATATTTGTTTGTTCTTCAGAATTTTTAGACATTTTGATGTGTGTTTTCATGTTGTCTTATAGTTTAAGTGAAATGGTGGAAAAGGTGCGAGGCACTACCATCCAAGTGCCTAGGCGCCAATGCAGCCGAAAACAAACAAAATCAACAGAATTCAAGTGCCCAGGAGCCACCCCATTCAGAGAACCAGCACCGCAGTGTTACTAACACAGCGCCTAGGCGTTGTACTGCAGATTTTAAGGTTATTTGGGTCTGGAAAAAACCCAATTAACCCTAACTAGAGATAAACATGAAATTAGTCATAAATACAACTCGAGAGGGGGACTTTTGAGACACTTCGACGATGGTGAATCGAGAGAACAAGGCAACTGAAGGAAGAGACGGCAAGAACAAAGACTGATTCAACTCCAAAACTTTTTTTTTCTAATCTCCATGTTTATGATTATGAACTCAAGTTTTCCTTATTTTTCAATCATGAACTAATTCATTCATCTAGGGGATTGATGTAATCTATACTTGATACCATGTTTTAATTTTTAATATGTATCTCTTTGAGGTTTTCTTATAAGTTTATTTGTGTTATTTGTTCTAAATGCTTTCATTTAACTGGTCATTAATTGACTGATTTGATGCTTAAGATTCAACACTCGAAAGATGGAATTTTGAATGTGATTATAGAATAACACAACCTAGGATTTTATAGGTATCGAGAGAAAGTATAAATCATTTGAAACGTTTTTACAAAGAACCATAAATTCTTTTTTATTTGGAATAGAAATATTGGAATTGGAATTGGAATTTAGGAATGATTTTCACTCGGCACTCAAAGGAGTAGAATAATAGGGGTCTTGCTTATAAACTTGAAAAATCAATTGGAGATAAATAGAGAATTAAGAGACATAGTTGATAGTTAGATTAAATAAAAACCCTAGGCTCTTCTCTTATTGATCCCATTAATTCAATCGTCCATATAACGTAAGGTTATTATAATTATAGTACTCAGTAGAGATTTAATTATCAATCCATGTGGGTTCGACATCTTAATTCATCGCTATATTATAAAACTTGACACCGTGTGCTTAAGGTATAATTTGTAACTAACACTTGCATACAAACAATCCATCATTATAAAGAAGCTTTTTAGCAGCCAGTTGCATGATGAGTTCAACGGTCTCACTAAATGTATTGGTATCCAAATGTTGCACCCAAGTGAAGAGAGGAGAATCCTGATATCCAGTTTTCAGCATGTACACTTCACAACCCAGTGTTTCAATGGTAAAGGGTAAATCAACATAATAACGATTTATGGGGGTAGAGTTCATACAAACAGTTTTGATTCTTACCTACAAAAGAAAATATCCATTCAAGCAAACATGCATCTAGTGTTCAATTCTCAAACCTTAGTCCATTAAAGATCCCTTTCTCATCTCACTGAAGAACTTGCCCACCAACTTTCACAAGCATCCCCACGGGTATTATCTTGAACAACCCTTAAATACCTCCCATGCCATCTTAACCATGACCTGCTGTAGCATTTCATTTTCATATCATGCTTCAAATACAAACTTCCACTCACATGCGGACTCCGATAATCACCAAGGAGGAATGGTGAAAACAGACTTTCTACACAAAAATTCTCCACCTCCTAGCTCGACAATTCACCATCTCCACACGTTTTCTAAAGCAGCAAATGAACTTTATTGACCTTCCAAACCACCAGCTACTCTGGTACACAAATTCGTAGGGCAATCATTAGTACTTGACTCCGCCTAATCCAAAGGACGCGTCTAATGCATGTGTAACTGAACAGAGCCAAAACTCAATTCAACTCTCAACATGGACCTCAATCTACCTTCTTGTCTGGCTGATTTCTCTAAAATTGTCCATATCCCAGCAGCCTCGTCTGATTCTGATAACGCCTCCTATCCCAAGTAGCCATGCATAACAAAATCAGATTTCTGAAAAGTTCAACAAAACAGCAGCACCACTTAATTGCCTTGTGCTCCAATCCTCTTGATCTTCCCACTTAATGCCCATGATATACTGTGTCACCTATAAAGCCAACAACAAATGAACTTCTAGGGAGTAAACTCCCAGAATGCAAAAGGCAACCCAGAAAGCAAATATCAATACAGGCAGACTGTAGTCAGCTACACGATGTAACAGCATTGAAGTACCACCACTAAGTTTCGGATCTCATTTCTCAACTTACTAATTCCACCCACATCACGACTCACAACTCATAAATCATGAGACCCTTCACAATGCAGGTGATGCATGCATTTCCTGAACCTGTAATTTAAACTGGCCGCTCCCAAATTCTCAGCCAGAATATACCCTGCTAAAAGAATTGATGAACTTGCCCTCCTCAATTACAACTCCAACTAGCATTCTTCCCCTTTAAGTTTGCACAGCCTTACTCTTCAATGTTTTTGAAGAAACTCTTTCAAACCAGGATGTTCTTCCACAATCTATGAATTGGTAGTCCTATCAACTGACTAGAAATGGTGTACAACCAAAGCAGATCTCACTTAGGCTACTAACATAAGCTAAAATACCACTTGTATGACCCAGAAAAGCAACTAGAAACTCAAGATCCAATGTTCACATGTGAACACAAGAAACCAGCAACGCTATGGAAAGTATGGACTTAATCGACATGAAAAGTCACAATGAAGGCACTCGAGATTTACGTGGTTCAGCGAAAACATGCCTACATTGACAAGGAGATTTACATTATCTGTACAGGATGAAATATACATAGTGCTTAATTCCCAAAACCTAGCTAAAAGCCCTAACCTCTCATCTCCCTGACGAACTCTAACACCCATTTGTGTCCCCATCATCTCTTGGGTATACCTCTAACCAACCTAGAATTTCTCCAAGGTAATCTAAACCAAGCCCATTGGTACACTTGATGCGTCTCAATGCCAACCTAATCTGCACAGTGCACACCCTTAAAAACACACTCTTTCACAACATCAATAGCAACATGCTCCAAAACTTACTGTAGCATTACAAAGACTTGTACTCACACTCAACGCTTCCTACAAATCCAAGGCTTGATAAAATGAAAATCCTTGGGAGGAGGTGTGTAAAAAGCCAAAGTTTCTACCTAACACAAAAGTATTGCTCCAATGAATTCATAAAATTTGACCTGATTTGGAGCATCCTTTTGTACTGAGACCAGGAAGTTCACATGCCATGTGAGCTCAGAATGTGATTAACCACACTCAAAACCAACTAGCTAGAAAACAATAAGATTGGTTTGTTTGCAGTGCTACAGCCATCTTTGTTTTAATTACAAGATTATATAATGCAGTGTACAAGCACAAAATCCCAACCATCTACCAGCAAGTGATTGGAGGTATGATTGCATTTGTACATGGCAAAAGTTTCAAGACTAGAACAGGTATGATACACAATTCCAATCTGGTAAAAGAAGAAGAGTTTAATGGCCCACGAAACAATGCTGGTTTTAATATCTAAAGTTCATCTACAAGATTTGGAAATCGAGTAGGCCATGTCAAAGGTGGAGGTGGAGGAGATGAATCCACCTCTACAATGATGGGGTTGTTTTCACTTCCGCAATAAAAAGGAAAGTTCTCCACCTTAAACTGAGCATGCTGTCCTCTCATTAAATAGATCAAATTAATTCCAACAAGCAAGCCAAAAATAAGATCAATTAATCAAGATATAGCACGACTTAACTGCTTATATGTCTCAGTTCGTGCTGCTTTCACCGGAAACTCCACTTCATTCAGTCTCTTCTGTTTAAGTGAACCTAAATCCACGTACCAGATTTTCGAGTCATTTGTCTATTTTCTCATTTACCAAGACAATGAAAGAAACTGGTAACTGATAGGCCATAAACAAAAATCTTATTTTCTGAATGAAACAACTCGAATCATACTGTATTCTGTTATTGCAAACAATTTTTACTGAAGAAGAGCTTGTACATTAAAAAAATTCAAACTGAAGCAAGCTTACCAATGCTTTTGAGAGTTTTCTCACGCTTTGCCGTAGTGCTCAGATTCTTGTCCTATCAAAATATAATTTACAAAAGAATTATGTAAATCATAAATGAAACACTCATTGCGTTGACATAGATAGAACCACCTCAAATCCACAACCACCACCACCACATCCACCACTAATTCAAATCTAAGTGAAATAGCCAGTAATGACACACTCAACCCGCCCCACCGATTCGATGACTAGATGAAAAATTGGGCCAATTTGCATTTCGGAATCGGAGAGAAGAATGGGAAAGTGAAAGATGACTACGAGAGAGGAGGCTCACGCTCCATTAGCGATCCATGAGTACCCGACGAATTCTAGTAGCCAATCGATAGCGGGTTCGCGTCCTTTTGCAAAGCGATTGGGGATTGGAAGCGCTGTCTTTAATTTAAATAAGCGTAGCGATATGTGGGCGGTGACATCTAGTGGCCGTGGAGCAGGGAAAGAAGAAGAAGCATCTTTCTACATGGCATTGGAGGAGGAGAAACTGAAATTTGGATAGAGGAGAGGGAGGTTTTAGAGACTTTGAGGGAGGAGAGCTGGTTGTGAAGGTCCTGGTAGCAAGAGAGGACCTCATGGCGAAGCAAGATAGCATTTCCGTTGGCAGTGTTAAGAGGAGTGGTGGCGGTAGATGGTGTTACCGTAAATAAATAGGAATATTATTTTAGGAATTATATTTATGTTACAATTGCTGATTTTTAGGGATTACATATATATAGTTTTGAATACTATACATTATATATTATATACAAGTAGGAATGGCAAAAAAGCTCGCCGGCTCGACCGTTAGGCTCTGAAAAAGCTCAAGTTGGGCTCGGTGCTTTATTTTTTGACCGAGCTTTGCTCGGCGTGCTTTATTTTTTGGCCGAGCTTTGCTCAGCTCATGCCCAAAAAAGCTCGAGTCGAGTCCGACCTTTTTTTTCGGCTCAACTTGTTGACATGGCTACGTAGACGTTCGTAGTATCTTACAACTACAAGAATTACAGAAATTTAGTCTTTTATCATGGTGGAGGTAAAACAAAAGGCAGTATCCAATTGTATCAAAAATTGCTCGCAATCTACTAACACCGCCGGTGTCTATGGTAGCATCGGAGACTGCATTTAGTTTAGGTGGTCGAGTTTTATAACACGTATAAACTATACAAATATTAAATTCTATTAGTAGAAAATGTAGATTTTACTGAAAGAAAAAAAAACCTAGCCGGCTCGGCCCGCTAAGGCTCGGGGCCAAAAGCTCGGGCCGAGCCTCATTTTTTTTGGCCGAGCTAGCTCGGCTCGGGCCCAAAAAAGTTGTGCCCAAAAAAGCTCGAGCCGAGCCCGAGCTTTTTTTTTTGGGCTCGGGCTCGGCTCGTTGACAATAGCTGGGAATAAGACTTTACTAGGATAAGTAAAACAAAGATTCCCTGCTAGTATTGTTTTAATCAAATAAGCAAATACAATTTCAAAAGAAATAAAACTAACTACAAGAACAAATTAAATAAGATAAGTCATCTTGTAGTGGCTAAAGAATTATTTCCAGTAAATTTTGGTCCAAATATAAAATTGCTTAACATCTATTTAAAAATAAAATTAAAAAATAAACTTTCCATGACATCTATAAATGGTTGACTAAGTTTTCATTTCAAAACACACGAATGTTCTTCATTAGCAAAAATTTTATCCCTCCATTTCTAAAAACTTAAAGCTGAAATTTTTTCCCTTTTATTCGGAAGAACAGCATGGTATTTTCATCTCAATCAGATAAATTTTTCAATTTTTAATTTGGGAAAAAGGGGATTGATATGCTATAATCAATATATCAATGTTTCTCTTACCGATTGGTGAGGAAGTTGTCAAAACTCATTTTCGATTCGAGTTTCTGAAAAATCAGATTCTTTAAGCTATTTTATCAAGGTCGTTACCACCCTATATATGGTTGTTCGCACCCTAAGTAAGGAGGTTAACACCCTTAAATAGTGGTGGGAATACCCGACAAAAAAAATAACTTAAAATTCTTTTTTTTTTGTTCTTTTACTGGGTATTCGATCTCCTAATTCTTCTAGATATTTGGTCTAATTACTAATAAACATTTTAAAATAATTTCAGGAACTTTTACTAGGACTATCAAAGATTGTGTGTGATTTCGTTATATGTCTACTTTTCAAAAATGTGAATAATTCGCTACTTAGCGATAGCTGAAATTTGATAGAACTAGCAAACTTGTTAAATTACTTATTTACTTAAAGTATGTGTTGAATTTTAATTAGTTTCTATACGAGTTCTAGCATACTATTTTGAGATACATTTTGTTTAAGATTAACCAACTTTACAAGTTAAAATACTAAGATTTAAATCCTAAATTTTAACAAAGATCGCAGAATTCTTTAAAGTTTTGTACACCGTCCCTTTTATCTGGATCAGGATATGATCAGATTGGTCCCAAAGTTTGAACCTTATACTTAGTGGGTATGGCATTCGTGCACCAATAGTGTTCATTAAATTGAGCGCTCCGTGTACAAAATATAGTTAAAGAATCGACGCCTAAAAGATAAAATCTAATTATGTGCAATTATCACACTAACACCAAAATCACCTTACTGAATTTAAATATTCACATTCACGTGTGCAAGTGAAAACTGTTAAGATGATGGGCGAGAGTATCGAAGGATCATTGAGATGGATCTGTGGATGTATTACCCGATATTTCTCGAGTTATGCCATTTTATTAAAACTAAGAAAAGTGTTGAGTAGTAGAATACCCGGGATTTCACTCACAAAAGAACGGTTGTACTCTAGTGCTAGAAGAAGTAAACTAAGTTTAAAGAGCCGACTTTTGATGAATTAGCCACAAAGGTTTTGTAAACTTAACATCGTGTCTATGTGTATTTAATTAAAAGGAGAAAAGCTTAGGGTATGTTCTCTTTACCATTTTCAAGCTGTTTTCTGTTTTCGATTTTCCAAAACAGTGAAAACGCGTTCTCTTTCCTATTTTCGAAAGAGCGTTTTTGAAAACAAGTTAAAAATTTACAAAGAAAACACAAAACAACAAATTTGTCGTTTTGAGTGTTTTCAGTTATAATCAAGCCAAAATTTTCAAAACGCCAAAAAGAACACATTTTCAACAATCTCAAAATGAACACTCAAAACACAAAACCCAAAATGAATTCAAAACTCAAAATACAAAACTGAAACACAAAGAGAACAACCACTTACCTTTTTTCTTTTATATATGCTGTAAATTTCATCTGCACTATTTTTGATAATATGAATGAAAGAAACTTGGTCATTTTTAAGTATTTTTAAGTTATCATGAATTTTGCCTTACACGATTTCAAGACAAGGTTCAAATTGTATTGGTCAGTTCCGTGTTCAAAATCATAGTTATTAGTTGTAATTAAAGTCAAAGAGTTGTGTGTTGGTAGTGTATGTCTTGAAGGACTCAATGTCGACTTAAGAAGATCATGAAATGTCCAAAAAGACCACATATGATCAATGAGATGCAATTAGAAGTCAAATCAGTGTGAAAGTGCCTCACATGTTATGCTCTGAATTCTCAATCGTAGGTTACGATGCATTTTTCATATAAAATAGATTCGATTTGGAAAAATGATATCTCACGAAGAATTGTAGCCCTTTGAGTTAATAGTCTAACACACTTTGAGACGCCTCAATCCGATATCGCAAGAGAAATATATGATGAAAATATTGACATCTACTCAAAGAGAGCTCACTGGCCGCCCTCTAGGAGCTCGAGTGATTTTAACAGGATGTGAGCGCTCACTAGGTGCCCTAAGGGCATTCAAGCGACTGTTAGGAGCCCAAACCCTATTTCACAATTTTATGACTTTTCATAGTTCCATACAACTTCAAACACTTCATATTATGTCCTTGTTTGATAATTATTAATTGAGAAAAATAATGCTTTGAATAGTATTTTTTAGGAAAATGTGTGGTTAAAAAGTAGGGAAAAATTTTGGGTTTACATGTAGAATATTTTATTGTGTGAATGTGTGGTTAAAAATGAGCATGTAGAAGAAAGGGTTTTGAAAGAATTGGAAACAAACATGGGCTTATATAATTATTGATAGGCTTATGTGTATATGCATGTATTATGTATCTTCGCAATATGGACCTTACNGTGCGTTGAGCCTTCACTCATTCAAGAGAACATTCTATAGAGATAAAACATCAATTCTATAATTCTTTTAACTCAACCATAAGATCAAAACACAAAAGACCAAACACCAAAAACTTTTACTTTCACCAATAAGCCTTCAAAGTTCTGAAGTTGGGAAAAGACATTATTCTTCGTGATCCACGTGGAGGGAAAATAAGTCTAGGGTTCTAGAAAGTGCAAGTTGCACAATCGAAGAGGTTCTTTGGTGATTTACGAGTTGGGTCTTTATAATCTACTAATATTTATTTGTGTCTGGACCAACTGTAAGTTATCTTTTCTAGTGAATCGTTAGATCTTAGTCAAATATGACGAGTTATTTGACTAAAATTACATCTTCTTCTAAGAAGATTTGGGTCAAAAGAGTAAACTCTTTGGTTAAAGTGATGTTTTAAATTACGAATTGAAGGACTGAGAATGTGCGGAATTACATTTTCAAGAACAAGTTGACAATAATGGCCGAAGAAAAAAGATCGAGCCTGCTCGGCCCGCTAAGGCTTGGGTTGAAAGCTCGGGCAGAGCCTCATTTTTTTCGGCCGGACTTTACTCGACTCGGCTAGGGCCCAAAAAAGCTCGAGCTGAGCCCAAGCTTTTTTTGGCTCGGCTCAGATCGTTGACATGACTATATACAAGTGTAAAAATGACAAAGGAGGACACAAAATTCTCAAGAAAATTCTTCCAGTTTCCTTCGGTATTTTAGCTTCTTTTAACTTGGTATCAGAGCTTGGTTCTAATTCTCTACTTGCTTTATTCTTTTGTCGCATCCAGACTCGTTTCTTCCAATTGCCGACGTTGTTTGGTCTCTGTTTCGGTGTGTCTGTTGTCGTTCCTTCGTGGGCTCCTGAATTTCGACCACTTCTCTAGCTTCGATGACACCGGTCAGCGACTTCTCCGGTGGATTATGGTTGGGCTCTACTTTCGGTAGTCTGATACACACGGTTTTGGCCTCTGGGTTTTGGCTTCTAGAAGAGTAATTCTGATCTGCCTTCTCTGTTAATTGGGTTCTCTTTTAATTGGATTCTGCATTACAGGCCTTTTCTTGTGGTTGCTTTTTGGTTAGTTTGTGATTTCTTTCGACTTTCTCTATTTAATTAAGTTATGCACCACGTGGTTTCTTTGTTTTTTTTTTTTTTAAGCTTGGGCTCCTTTTTTTATTGCAATTATATTGTAGTTGGATATTTTTTCCATCGTGTCTTCAGAAAAGTTCGACTCTTGGTATATTCATTTTAATTGCAAGAATTATTCAGCGTGGGAGTTCCAATTTCAATTATTTGTTGAGGGTAAAGGCTTGTGGGGTCATCTTGATGGAAGTGATCCCGCCCCTACTTATGTAGAGGATTTGTCCAAATGGGAAATCAAGGATGCTCGGGTTATGACCTGGATCCTTAGCTCAGTTGAGCCTCACATTGTTCTTAATTTGAGACCCTATAAAACTACTGCTAATATGTAGGATTTACCTTAGCAACGTCTACAAACAGGACAACACGGCTCGACGATTTCAATTGGAATATAAGTAGGCTAATTTTAGACAAGGAAGTCTCTCCATTGATGAATATTTTTCTAGATTTCAATTGGAATATGAGTAGGCTAATTTTACACAAGGAAGTCTCTCCATTGATGAATATTCTTCTAGTTTTCAAGACCTTTGGGGCTGAGTATTCAAACATTGTTTATGCTAATGTTCCTGCTGCAGCTCTCTTTGTTATTCAAACAGTGCATGAAACAAGTAAGAGAGATCTATTCTCGATAAAGCTACGTCCCGACTTTGAGGTTGCCCATTCTAATATGACGAGTTGCCAACATGTACCATCTTTGGATACTGTTTGGGTAAACTCCTTGGTGAAGAGCAACGCATTGACACTCAATCTACCATGGAACATAGTGCCACTGTCAGTTCTCCTGTTACTGTGGCTCATGCAACACAAGGGAGGAATAAGAGTCGAGACATGCGTGATGTCCAGCTGTAAACCTTTTGGTCATATTGATTGAGATTGTCCTAAAAAACACTGTAACTACTGCAAGAAACAGGGTAATCACATTTCTATTTGTCCCATTCGTCCTAAAAGGGAGCATGGCATATCATGCCTTCACTAAAACCTATAGCTCCGCTACATTGCCTGCTGCCTCGAAAGTTGTTCCTAATCTTGCTTTTACTCCCATAGTAAACCAAACCGCACTCACTCTCGAAATGGTACAACAGACGATCAATTTTGCTTTCTCTGCTTTTGGACTCTTAGGTACTCATACAATTTCTTCTAAGCCTTGGTTCTTTGACTCTGGAGTAACTATATGACTAATATTGTTGAACCTCTTTCCAATGTCAAAGAGTACGATGGGAATCTAAAAATTCACACCGATGGCAGTTCTCTGCCTATCATCGCTGTTGGTGATCTTTCTTCTTCATTAACTGATGTTTTTGTTTCTCTTGACCTCTCTACAAATTTAATTTTTGTTGGTCAATTTATTGATAATAAATGTGATGTCCACTTTCCTCCATCTGGTTGTATTGCGCAGGATCCAGTGTCTGGGAAGATGATTGCGAAGTGGCCTAAAGTGGGAAGACTCTTTCCCTTGCATATTTCTCCTTCCCCAATTCTCCATAGGTTTCCTTTACTTTCCTTTGTATGTAATGATGTTAGTCCTGGAAATAAGTTGTGGCATATACGTCTAAGCCACCCAAACTCTGATGTACTTCATACTTCTTTTAATTCTGACTTATTGGGAAATAAAGGATGTTCTTCTCTTGATCTTTCTTTTAATTGTACTGCATGCAAAATTGGTAAAAGTAAAGTTCTATCTTTTCCTTCTCATGGATCTCGTACCTCACAATATTTCGATATTATTCATAGTGATTGCAAACAATCCTGTCTTCCATAAACACACCAAATACATTGAGATTGATTGTCACTTTATTCATAACACTTTCGAGGATCGAGTGATATCTCTACGCTACATTTCGTCTGAACTCTAAGTGGAATTATCTTTTTGTTACAATTGCTCATTTTTTGGGATTACATATTTATAGTTTCCTTGTAAAAGAAATACGATACATTATATATACAAGTGTAAAACGACAAAAAAGGATACTGAAAATTCTTCCAGTTTCCTTCGGTATTTTCGCTTCTTTTGACAGACATCGAGTGACGGTGGAGAGTTGTTGGAGTGTGGATACAAGAGTTGAGGGAGAAATGGAGTAAATGATAGGTGGGGTGGGATGGGATGACGTATAGTATACACTTGAGTTTTGAAAGAATAAATTTAAATTCTGAATTTTGAAATGGGAAGTTAGAAAACAAGGATGTGTGTAATATCTTCAATATTGAAAACCATTTTTTTAATACGTAAAAGCCTGTGTCCCTACTTTTATATAACAAGAAAATAAATACCAATAACAATCGAATAGTGATCGCTAAATTAAGTTAGCTAGGAGTACATACTAAGAATAAATTAAATACAAACTCACCTCATTGTCAGAAACTTCAGGAAGAGGAGCAATTGGAAGTTGAAGTTCGCCAATTTGTATCTTATGCCTTTCAAATTCCAAAAGTGTCTAACACATATATAGACAAAGAGAAAGAGATGATCAATAATAGAATCCAATAAAAAAAATGAGACCAAAGGATAATAGGTATAAATAAACAAGAAGATCCATGTATTACATAGAGTAATCAATATAAAAACCCCTCTTCTTTTACAATACCCAAATCTCATTTCTCATATAACTCTTCACGGAAAGGACAAGACATTCATTTAAACAAGATTTTCCAGCTACTCACATAGAATGACGAAAATAACTATAACGTAAAATTTATACATGAAACAAAAGAAATAATAACAAACAAAATCTAGGAGAATGGAATCAGCACGAGAGATCACTATTTATACACACAAAGAAGGATTGCTCCTTTCATTATTTTAGTAATAAAAATAAGTATGTAGGTTAACCAAGTTTTGGATAGCCTAAAGACATATCAAGCTCGTGCAGTAGAATTTATGCCAAGTACTGGCTATGGGTAAAAATCGTGTGGACATTACAACAAGCATATAATGGGAAGTGAAATTGGGAGGGTTGCCTTCTCATAGAAAATGCGGAATGTCCAAGAAACAGTTGTGCAAGTCCTGCAAGAGGACATTACAACAAGCATATAATGGGAAGTGAAATTGGGAGGGTTGCCTTCTCATAGAAAATGCGGAATGGCCAAGAAACAGTTGTGCAAGTCCTGCAAGAGAGCAACGAGGGGTTATATAAGCCAAATAGAGCTAGAATCACAAAATTTGAAATACGCTAAAGATTTTCTTCAAGTTTAGCGAACACGGTTATTTAGCATTGCTTAATAAAAATTATCTAAACAGTTGTGATTTCATGTACATTACTGGCAGCCAACCCAAATATTTCAAATGATTACAAATCAAAAAATAACAAAAGAACCATACTTTGGAGGATGAAATGACTCTCCCACTTGCCGCCACAACTTGGATCCAGTTATCTATATCAGCAATTCCTCAAATTAGTAACACTGAAGAAAAACATTTGACAAAACTGTCATCTGAAACATTGATTTACTATTTTAAATTCTAATTTTGATGACAACTAAGAACTAGTGTGAGTGCTCAAATGCCAGTGTATAGCAAGTGTGGTACAAGATTGTGGAGCCTTTGTTTAATTACTATAATCATGCTTCAAATTATGATGCAGTTTGGAAGGACGATATATAAATACTAGTTAACTTGATTTAAAATGTCATTATCATATGGAACCGTGTGAAGTCAAAGTTAAAAGCTACACGTGATATCTAACATATACCATTGCCAATATGTACAGTAAAAAATGATTAGCAATATGTCCTCATGCAGCTAGCAACATTTTCCGCTCAACGTGATTTTTTGACTACTAAATGTCATTGACCATGTGCATCTGCAGTTTCAACAGAATTTCTATAAATTTTTCTCTTTTCTCAAAGGCCAATTGGCAAATAATGAATTCATTGTATAACGCTTGAGTTGTTTGAAGAAGATTACTTAGTTCCTACTGCAGGTGTTGGATGAATATAGGAGAGAAAATAACACAATCTTAATAAGGTAGTTAAATAGTGGTTATAAAGTTCTTCAAACGATCCCGTAAGTGTCATTGAAGACCAAAGAAACATCTGCAACAGGATAAGTCTCATTGTTGTCCCTTTGACACTTAGATTTCCTGCCAATCATTTCTCCACAGCTTTCATGTATGATATTAACGCAGGACATGGTATCATAACATTTTCACATGCTTATCCATGTAAAATGACAAGGGGAAAAATAAAACAATATATGCCATATTACATGCTAGGCAAACAACTTTACCCTTTGTTGTGCATACAAAAGCTAAATGATAAAATCACATAAGAAAATGTTTAAGCAATAAGTTCTGTTCTTTCTAATGGCGTGTAGAAAAGATAATGAAAACATGAGATGTTAAAAAGAGAAGGATTTAAAAGTAGCATACAGTTTTTTTGGAATTTTTACAACTTGTTACATTTTCTTATTTGGAAGTTAACCTACATACATCCAACTTTTATTAATCTTAAATACTGATTATTCATTCCAAGTCTTACGAGATACGAGTTTTCATCATCATGCAACTTGCTTATGAAATAAAAAAATATTGTCTTTATATCCATCTAAAATTTTCACAAATAACCTTGCTTCTATATGCATCAGCATCAAATCTTTTATGCAATGCTCAGATTAAAAATTGCAGGATAAAATAAAGAAATTTAAGAAATACAATATAGGGCACTGCATACCCGATCATAGCCACCCAATTGAATCACAGCTCTCCATAACCTAGCAACCCACAAAGCTAAGAAATTAGTCTTTGCCCAAGAACGCTTCATAACAAAATAAAAACCAAACTTACTTCAGGCAATTTAGCGGGTGCCCATAAAATTTGGGTGGTTTAAAATCCATCCCCTTCTCCCTATGAAAATTTTTCAGTGCCTTCATGAATATTGTTTGATCTTCTGGTGCTCCATCGTCACCCTCAGCCATCTAAAACTCAAAATAAAAAAATAAATAAAAAATAGATGATCAATGTGAAACAGTAATAGCCACTTCATATCTACCCTTGAAATATAATTGAACTGTACAACTTTTCTCACTTCTATCATAAATAACAAAAGTACCTTTGCTTGACTAAAAACAGTCTTAACCATTTCCCCTCCATGATCTACAGCCTTTGAAGGTAAACATTTAACAAGGGAGGTTGGCGTGTCAGATTGTTGCTGGCTTGGAATTGAAGCATCATCAAATTCATATTTGGTTACATTTTCACCTGACGTGACATTCCCATTGATTAGAGCAGTAGCAGGAACAAGATTGCATGGTTCTTTCAGCTCAGTTTTAACCAATTTCCTCTCATTCTCATGAACCAAATCTATCACTTCTTCATTCTTAACCTGTGGCATGTCATCTACCAAATCGACCTCATTTTGAGGAGCCTTATTTGCAGATAGTTCAGTTGGAAGTTGGTTCACTCTGATAGATGTTTTCTCCATGACAGCATTTTCAGTTGGTTTTTCTTCCACTCCAACATTTTCAACAGGATTTCCATCCCCTCTGCTATTCTCATTGGAGGATTTCTCCTTTGCAACATCTCCATTAAGTTTGTCTTCCTCCATCACGTTTTCAACCGGATTGGCAACCTCTATGCCGTTCTCCATTGAGATTTTTTCTTCTTCCACTCCACTGCCAATAATATTCTGTTCATTCACTTCATATTTAGCACCAATTTGGTCCTCTGCAACACTATTACTATTGATTGGATCGTCAACTTCACTCTCACTGTTGATTGGGTCCACAGTCTCACTCTTACCCTTGATTGGGTCCTTGGTCTCGCTGCTTATGTTGATTTGATGTTCTGCCTCATTCTTATCATCTTCTGCTTCGCCTTCAGTAACTTTTAGGTCCTCTGATGCATTTGCACCAGCATTTACATCATCCATGACAGCTTTATTAAGAAATTCTCCTTCAATGCAATCAACTTTTGCGTCAGGAAGTTTATTCTTTGTCTCGAGTTCATTATTTACTGTATCTTGGACGTGCTGTTGGACTTCGTCCATCTCTACATTACTTTTATCCATTCAGAGATCCAGTCATAGATATTATATAATCATTAAACATTACAATACAATACAATTAATAAATAACACAGAATCAAAACCACCATGCATGTACACAAAATAATCTGAAACGATTTTTTTAAAAGGAATTAACCATGAATTCGATCATCCACAAACAATCACACACTTCAAGAAAATTTCCATTATGCATGGGAGTATCAAAACCAAAAAATAAAAATAAAAAAATAAAATTATGTAGATCCATTTATTCCTCTCTCAGGTTGCATCAGGACGGAAATTCAAAGAAAAACAGAAAAATCACGTGGAGATGCGCCGAAAGACTTACTCGGAAAAGACTCGCATCAGCAGCGGCCAGAGCTTCGGACTTTGAAAGGTGGAGCTTTACCTCAGTAATGGCGGATCCTAGGGTTTCCTTAATTTTCAAGGAGGAAAATAGTGATTAACAGAGTGTGGGAAGACAAATGTAAATGCCTGAGTGTGCGTGAGAGAGAGAGGGGTTGGGCGTTGGGTGAGTGGGTATGCTCTGCTTAAGCGGTTTCATAGTTTAAATGAAACGAATTTGGCTCAGCTATGGAACGCCTGGATTGGACTGACGTGTGATAAAATATCAATTTTATCCCTATGATTTTTGACCTCAAGTTTGTAATTGAAGGTCTTTTGAATAATTGAATATATGAGTACAATTTTTTTAGGGTCCAACCACCTACAAACCTGAACTCGAGATCATGGTAACTTCGAACACTCTCCTTAGGCTAGAACATCCTTAGGGTCATGCAGTCTAGCTCAATGGCTTGAGGCCCTTGGATATCTCGCACCCCTCGCTACCTCTTTTCTCTCTCAAGTTCCCTAACCTAGAAGGACTCAACTACCACAATTTTAATATTATCCAACTACAATAATTCTATGTTTAAATAAAATTGTAATGCCCAGATTTCATAGGTCTCTCACCTCATTTAGGACTCTTAAACAGATAAGGCATCCAAGTGACCAAATCCTACCAAAATTGTACTACCCAACTCTATAAATACACGACTTCCATTTATTATTTAGGTTATTCTGACCAGTTCATAGCCTCATGTACATATTTTTCCATTTTGCTAACTTAAGTATCGGAGGGACAACGATGATATACCTCGACGCATTTGTTTAAGGTTCTGGAAGTCCCATTCATACGCAAGCTTTGTCATCAATTTCAGGTATCCATAATTTAAGCTTTGTCTATAAAAGTTTTGTTTATGATCAAATTTTGTCATCGAGCTAGAGGTACAAAAGTTATGTTCATGCTCAAACTTTGTCATCGAGCTCGAGTATCTATAGCTCAAGCTTTGTCATCGAGCTGGGTTACAAAAGTTTTGTTCATGCTCAAGCTTATCATTAGGATCTAGTTACAAAAGTTCTATTCGTGCCCATTCCCTATTATCAAGTTTGGGTATTTACAAGTGCAGATGTTTGGTAGTATCATCGACACCGTCTTTTGAAAACGCTACCAAAAATCATGGTTAATACATGTTCAGAACCGCGTCAAGCAAGTTCATCCGCTTAAGCTCATATCGCGGATCCTCGAATCCCTCAAATGGTACCACCGAAAGTACTAGCACCTCAAAATATAGCTGTTGCCCTGGGGACATTTGAAGAGCTCCGCCAGCAAGTTGCTATTTTGACTAGACTGTTAGGCCAAGAAAACCCATCTCCAGTGTTGACACCTGAGGTCAATGACATGACGGAGGCTCGGCCTTGATTTCCACATCCCTCTTTTGATAATGGCAGTGTAAGGTCATCGGGTGCACATCAACCTTTCTAATGACCTCGGCCCTAAGGTCCTTCATCGGAACCCCCACGAAACTCACTAGAATCATCTAAGATGGAATAATTGTTGGCCTACGTTAGGGAACCCAGTGCTTAACAGGTTTCATTTTGAACATTCCTTTCACTCTCGAGATTCTGTCATATCCGCTGGGATAGGTTCAAGAATCCTCGAATAAAGAAGCATGATGGAACCACCAATTTGATCAATCACCTTAATGTAATCTACAAGTAGTCTTTAAATCTAGTAATATACAAGGCCTTCCTGCGAACTCTCTAATGTTGTTAGGGATTGGTTCCCTACACTGGAACCGAATTCTATCCTTACATTCTCATATATGGCCAACAAGTTCTCCGCCTTCTTCGTCGGTAGTAAACATATCAAGAAGACAGGGACATCCTTCATGCAGCTCCATCAGGGACAAAACAAGCCCTACGTGATTTCATAGCATGATTCAACATAGAAAGGCTTTAGATTCCCTGACCTACATATTATACATGCTTTTTTCGCCCTCACACATGCTATAAAATATGAGTCATTCAGAATATCTTTGTTAAAAGCCCACCAAAGTTCAAGATCAATCTTCTCACGAGGAGTGAGATATACATCAATATGGAAGAGACTGTGTATCCAAGAAAAGGGGGTCCGACCATAAAGAAACCTGAACACAAAAGGTACAAGCTCAATGTAGGATGGACAATGCTCAAGGTAGACAAAATTCAAACCTTTATCCTACATCCTTCACACGTCTAAACACCTTGAGGCCCAACATCCTGATGGACATTAAGGACCTCAATGAACTCAAATGGCCTCAAAGAATAAGATCTCTCCGAAATACTAGAGTTAATAGCAAGTTTTGTAAATTTCATCGAGATCATGGATACACGACAGACACTTGCAATGCCTTACATCACAAAATTGAGTCCTTGATAAAAATGGGTTTCCTCATGGCTTATGTCGTCAAGAAAAACATCCAAGGAATGACAATTCTCATAAATCAAGGAAGGCTCATCCCAGTGAAAGAGCTTGTGGAGGTCGTCCTCAAGGTCGGTAAAATTGTAAAGGTAGGCAGGTCATCCAACCTTATTTAGTAGTTGTTTAAATTATTTATTTTATGTTATGTTACATGGGCTTGCATGCCCTACTTTTATTTATTCGGTTGTTTGATCCTGTGGGGCCATATTTACTTTTAACATTAATCATGACAATATATACCCTTCGTTAATCTTGTCCTCGTCAGGATATGATCTCACAATGAATTCGTTCGTTTCGTTCACGATGCTAATAAAAAAATCAAACATTGCCTCATGCAAGCACCTCAAGTCTTACCCTCATGCCTCGCACAAGAACCTCAAACCTTGCCTTGCGCAAGCACTCAAAATCTTGCCCCGTGCAAGTACCTTAAGACTTGTCGTTGCAAGTACCTCAAGTCTTACTTTGTACAAACATCTCAAGCCTTTCTTTCATACAAGCACTCAAAGCCTTGTCCCTATGCAAACACCTCAAGCATTGCCTATGCAAGCACATCAAGCTTTGCTCTGTGAAAGCACTTCAAAGCATTGCCGCATGCAATGATTTCAAGTCTTTCCCTACTCAAGCACCTCAAGCCTTGTCAAGTGCAAGCACTCAAAGCATTGCCTCTCGCAAGCATCTCAAGCTTAACCTATGAAAACACTCGAAGTCTTGTCCCGTACAAGGACACCTCAATCCTCTACCATGAACACGTGACATAAGATACCTTTATCGAGTAGAATACTTTATTAAAATAGAATTACACAATTGTGCAAGTCATTTCGCTGATCTCACATGACCTCGACCACAAAGAACTTATACATCAGGATTCATTATCGTGATTTCTTTGGGATTGGTAGTTTACTTAGCGTTGAAGTGTGTTCATTATATAACGTCAGGATTTTTTCATTATGTAAATCGAAACAATAACTTACAATATATGAAAAACAACATGGTGGGGGTTAAATATTTCTTTCATAAACTTGGAAATTTTTACATAGCCCTTTTTCATTACAAAAAGAGGCTCGCGGTACAGCCAAAACTAGGGGGCTTGGGGCCTATAAGAACCCTCGAGGCTATCCTCAACATCTTTTTCATTGGTGTATTTCACAGATCACCTATCTAGGCTCTAGGTCAAAAAACGCCCACCATTACTCCTGCTCAAGTTAAACACCATATACATGAGGTTAAAAGATTCTTGAGCACCCTCGTTCTTAGCTCAAACTTTGAGGCCTTTGGTTTTCACCTTGAACTTGAGTAACTTTCACCTTAACCTCGAGTAACCTTCACCTCAACCTCAAGTAACCTTCACCTTGACCTTGAGCAGTCTATACTCACCTTGAGCAATCTGCATCTCATTAATAAACCTCGAGCATTATAAGCAATATCCCCGAGTCTTGAACATAGATACACGACAGTTACTGATGTATACAATTTACGTACGACTTGACCACCATAACCTTGAGCTTGATGTAAGGATAACCTCGAGCACTCCTCTTAAGCGAGAACATCATCAGGCTCATGTGATCGGGCTTAGTGCTCGAGCTTGAGGTCCTTGGGCATCTTGTGGAAACTTATGGAAATTAGATTTCAAGATATTTAGATTTTGTTTGTACTCTGCTATAGATGTTGATAACACTAACAATTTCCACTTATGCATAAAGGCATCCCATTGGTCTTGTCTTCAATTTTTTTTTTTTTTTTGCCAACACATTCTTTGAAATATGCCATCTACATAAAATATTAGTTGATGTTGAAAATATTTTTTCAATGGCCTTCATAAGAGCTAGCTCTCTTTCAGTATCAATAACACTATACATTATATCACCTATTAGATTTTTTAATCTTCCCAAAGCCCATGTTTAATTTTCCTCACGTTCTTTTCCCAAGTATGCAAAAGCAATCGAAAATGTTAAATCAATAGGAGCGATGCATACTATCTCCAACAACTGTAGGTGATATCTATTTGTCTTATAGGTGCAATCTATAATTATCACACGAAGAAAAAACCTGCAACAAATCTACTAAATGTTGATGTGCCCAGGACAAATCTATAACTACATTTGTCTCCTTAGAGGTACGATGCCACTTTATGTAGTTATTCTAAACAAGCCTAATCATTAGCTTTTGTATTTGTGTTCTTCTAGCTTGTTCTTTGAGCCTA